CTGACCAGAATCAGGAATTAGCACTTGATCAATGAGATGGATAACGCCATTGCTTGTCACAATATCTTTACGTTTCACCATTTTCACTCCATTCACAGTCAGGCTTTCACCATCACAACCAATTTCAACAGTGTTTCCTTCCAAAGTTTCATAGACAGCTCCACCTGTGATTGCTTCAGAACACTGGAGAGTATTTAATAGGTGGAACTTCACAAGAGCTGCAAAGAAAAGAGCAGAAAGTTCATATTTGTGTTTGGACACGTATAATTCACATATAGGTGTGGGATAAATTATTACATCTATACAATTTCTAATAGTGTACTAGCTTAGTTAGCATATTTGCACTCATAGATACTTTTTTCAAAGTTATTGATACTATACTATAGGCATCTAAACAACATTTATGGTCAAAAATATTTGGCATTCCTTGTATTATGAAAACTCTACTGGTTATGCTGCAACCTGCATGTGGCAGGGTGGTGACTGCTGACATGTTCCAAAAGGACCTCAGGGTACAGAACTCTACAGGCTATGCAAAGGTGAGAGAGAACCCCACAGTCAGAAAGCCTTGTATTTATAGAGGCAGGAATGTCTATCAGAACTGAACTATTAGGAGCATCAATATGCCTATATTTTCCCAGTTCCCTATAAACCCTTTAAATTCAAACTAAGTTTTCAGTGGCTTTGAATACTTAGGGCAACAGGAAAAATCTCAGACAGAAGAAATAACTCCTCCTAGACAGAGGAAAGTAGAGGTGCTTAATTTCATAGCTACTAAGATAATGTAGTTTCTATCTCTTGATCCACTCATCTGTATTTCTCATTCACAAAAAAGGTTACATACCCTCAGAAGATACCTTGTCACCCATGATCCTTTCTAAAACTCCCCTTGGAAGTCTCTCAAAAGCTTCATTAGTAGGAGCAAAGAGTGTATAATGACCAGGCCTTCCAAGAATATCCATGACATCTGATGTAATGGCAGCAGCCTAAAACATAATTGGTTTTTTTTTATGCTGATAATTTAAAATATTACCAAAATACATTATCTGTCTAGTTTCCCTTCATGCCCACAGGTACTTCAGTGATAGACCAGGATCAGTGTTACAGAAACATGAAAAACTGAATGGACAGAAAGGGTTTCTTTTTCAACTGAAGACCACAAAGGATTGGCTTTTATATTCCTATTTTTAAAGGGCTTAAATGTTGTGGTTGCTGTAACAGTCATGGACTGTATTTGAGGGATTGAGAGGGTCTTTTCCGGTTTTATGCCTCTGCATTTAAAATACCTATTCGTATTTATTTTGGAGATGGACAATGGAAAAGGACAACAGTTATTTGCAAAACAATGGCACATTTTTTTTAAAATGCAGCATGAAATCCCATTGACAGATATGGCTGCACAAACATATCCTCCAGGAGAAAGAAAAAATAGAAACTTGGACAGAAAAAAATCATACTTCCGCTCTGCAAGAAAAATGCTTCCTATGTGCATCTACTGATGCTCTAAAACTTGCTATGAGCCAGATTCTGGAATTTATTTGGTGCTTTTACCATTTTTAATCATTCAATTTGAAATTATCTTTATCAATCACCGGACACTGTAACTTTATGCGCACATTTCATTGCCTGAGTGTTCGAAGAGACTTTTTATGTACAGGGACACACTTCACCGTATTTATGTGGTCTTATTTTATCCATAAAAGAGAAGAAGCAGGCTCCTTATGTAAAATATACTTTGACTTTTTATATAGCTACATTTGAAATACTAGATGGAGTTCTTAATTGAATTTACTGAACTAGGCCTTCATACTTCCAGGTATGACAAACAAATAGAAAAGAAATAAGAAAAAGAAAAACAAAACTAAAAGAACAGAGAAGATCTTTTATTTTTTCGACTTACTCTAAGAGATGAAAGATCGTCCTCGACTTCAATGAAATCTTGAATGGTACTTCCAACAGCCGTCAGGACACGATCAATGACATGGACAACACCATTGGTAGCAATCTGATTGCCATGGATGATCCTGGCACAGTTAACAGTAACAACCTGTATTTGAAGAATTAGAAGTAGTAGAAGATTAAGTATTAATTTTATCATAAACATCGAACCCGATTCTTACAGACTGAAAATGTATGTATTGTACATTGTGTATTCACTCTTCGTATTTCAGTTGGATTTTTTTAAAATTTGAAGTAAAATTTTGCAAGATTTGAAAGTCTGGCTAATCTTCTGGAAAGGTAACACCAGACTTAATTAAGTTACATTGATTTCTTATTCATGTTTTATTTTTCATTGCAATAATTCTGATTTGTTTTCCATATCTGGTTAATATGGTGATTGTATTGGTTTTTACTGATGTAATCTGTAGACCAACATAAACATTTTGATGCATCTAAGGCAACAAAGATGAGTGACTTAACTGGGAGTTTTCTAGCATTTATAAAAATTATATTTTTTCTAGACAAATAATGGATGTGTGTTTTCTACAATCTTAAATGTTCCTATCATGTACTCAAATTCAAATAAAATATCTGATTTAATATTATTTAGCAAACACATAAAGATTAATACTAGATTTTGCTGTCAAATTTATGATGATCATGTATTTTGGCCACAAAAGGTTTTGACCTGTATGAAGAAAGTTTTTTCTCGTTTGAACTTTGATTTCTAAACAGCACAAGTTTATTCACTCTTTCTTAGTGATTTGTCTAAACAGCAGTCAAAACTTCTTCAAGAGAAAATTTATTTTTTTTTTCCAGTCACAACTGACTTGCTAGGTGTCAAACTTTCCATAACTTATTTTCATTTCCATAGCTATATAAGGAAATAAAGGAAATAAAGGCTATAACTGAATAAATATATTAAAGGAAAAAAATAAAATAGACTTACCCCATTAGGATAATGGTTAATGAGCAATTTCTGGCCATTATACATAGACACGAGAGTCAAGCCATTTTTAAGATCTTTTGTCAACATGCGCTTATTTAGCATGTGATGGTGGAGAGCATTATACAGTTCAATATTTACATTGTAAACCAAATTCCTGTGAATTTCCTGAAGAAGAAAAGAATTTAATTAATTAGGAGCTTTGAAACATTTTTCCACTCAGAAAACACGTACATATTGTTTTACCTCAATTTTCAACATCTTTTAGGAAACACAGTTTTGAGGCCTATCAATTGGCTCTACTTAAATGATCCTTCAATCTGGTTAGCTCACAAATGGAAGACAAAAGGCTTCATCATAGACAAGTCATTGGAGTAGCTTTTATTCAATATTTATTTAATCAAAACCATTACTAAAAGAAGGATACCTAAAATACTGACAGTGCACAACTAGACATCACGTAGCTGCTGGAATTCCTAAAAGTTTCCCCAAAACTATGCTAATAACACTAACAATATTATTATTTTCATGCAGATTCTTAAATAAGAGACAATTATGATTGCTTAATACTCCTGAAATTAAACTCAGCCTCTCTAGCTTCAGGAAATGTATTTTAAACATACAAATTGTTTCATTATAAATTGCACAACATACTTTTATGTCTAAAATATCAGTATTGTTTCTAATCTACTTTATCATACACTAGCTTCAGCTAAAATGTTAGTTGAAATAGAAACACACTTTAACTCATACACATGTACACACTTACTGAATTTAATTGCTCCCAGGCTTCATTGCTTGGTGCAAAGAAAGTGAATGATCCTCGTCCTTCAATCTCTTCTCTCAGCTTTGATATGTCAGAGTACTGCTGTGTGGAGGTAGCTCCCACAATACCAAGTGTGCCATATACATGATCAATAGGAGCAACTAAAATAAACATGTAATAAGAATGCTGTAAATGTCATCCATGATCAAATTTATTTTGTTTCTTTTTGTTGGACAATTGTGCTAAAACTTTAAATCCATATTAAGCAATGTGCTTGGATTAAAAATTTGATTGTCAACATACTCAAAAATCATCTAAACACATCTGCTTGTTATTTATTTTTTTTTTGTTGCTTAACGAAAAATTAGAGCAAACAATACTGAATATTGTAAGGTTTTCTTTGGAAGAGCTGTCGTGCTTTTTACTAGCCCAAAAAGAAATGAGAGGCTATCTGTTGAATATAGGAGTAAATTCCATCACAAAACTTTAAATGGAGATAGTCTCCTTTGGTCATGATGGAGCAGAATTCATCTTCTGAAGCCTTTTGCTCTTCTTCCATTGTCCAGTTTGTGAACATATTGATTCATCCACAGGGTAAGAATGGCCATAGACTCGCAGTTAAAACAGTACTACATGAGAACAGTATTTATCTCTCCTTATTTTAGGCATCTAGAAGTGAGACATTTGCATGCAATCTAGTTGTTGTTGGTTCTTTCTATGGTTATGGAGAGGAGCAGACAATTCTAGAGTGTGACTGACCTCATCCTAATGTAAAAATCTGAAGGGAGATTAATTCATCTAAACAAATTGGTCTCTGCATTGTTGAACGCAAAAGGATTAGTTCAGACATAGGGATTCCTTCTCCCATTACTCTTTCTTGCTGAAATTAATTTTATTTATGTAAAACAGAAAAGTATAAATAGGAGAAATCAAGAATTCCTTTCTTCATTTTCACTCCTTCTTAGTTAAAGCCTATAAGAGTCTTCAACTAAATTAGAATAAAGTCTTTTCAGGAAAAGGAATAATTTAGATATGCTACATCTGTTTTTCTGACCTCACTGGTAAGTTTTAGGCTATTTTGGGATTTGATGAGAATAGGAATAAAAGTTCTTTGGCAGCTTTGGGAACTGAAGACACTGTCATCCCTCACCAATCCAGCATTGGGAAGGAGCCAGGAAATTCAACCTAAACTGCATGATAAGTTCAGTGCTGGCTGATTTTCAGCTGCGTTGACCATATACAAATGAGGCTGTCTATTCTTAGGCAATAATTCTGAAAAAGAGGCAATCATTTCTCAAGATGACCACTTTTGAAAATCTCTGGTGTTGTACTGCTTCCCATGTACTGATTTATCCATATGAAAAAAAGCTTATACCTGCAGGACATCCTCTTGTACCATCCATCTTCATGTAGCCAGGACAACACTCGTATAAGACAGTTCTGTGTGAAATAGACAAAAAAAAAATTAAATAATATACGAGAGAAGCACATACTAATTTTAGCTAAGTCTAATTTTTATCTTTTATTATTAATTTTTCATTACAAAATACACACTGTCCAGATATTCATCCTTTTTCTGTCATTCAGCCTTTTCTATATTGACTACAAATTGATCAAAATTTACTAAATGTAAGAATTTGAATTTGAATTTACAGAATGACTACCATCATTAAATTTAAGTACTAGGTAGGAACGTGGGAGGGCATGTGGTACTCATGTAGAGTACTAAAAGGTGATGTGACTAGAACAGTAGTTGAAGAAAATTAATTTATCTATCATACGTTGCAAAGAGTAAATGACATTGAAGAAAGAGAAAAAAAAGTGAGAACATTAAAGGAAGCTCACAGAAGAAGGGTTGTAAAGGAAAACGAAAAATTTAAATGAATGGAATAGAAATTAAAGTGACAGAACTACATGAGGTCACCTACATACTGGCTATAGGAACTAAATAGGTATTTATTTAAGAGAAGGCCTTGTGGATTGTATGGCAATAAAAAGTGGGATAAGAGAGCCTCAGCTTTCCAAGGAAGAATTTGAAGCAGCTCAGGAATGAGGGAGAGAGCTAATTAAGAACAGACATAAAACAGGTTATAGAGAAGGAAGTCACTAAAGACTAGATGGATGGACACAAGGAAAAGTTCACCAGTAAACATAGTGAGGATGAAAACCAGACTACAAGAAATAAACACCAGAGTTAAAAAAGTATGTCATCACAGCATAAAAAGAATTTAGCAATACTTGGGGGTCAGGAACTGTTATATAATGATATCAATAAAATACTCTCATTTTCGAATACATGTAAGCTACACATAACAGTAAACCAGGTGATAACTGTATACTGTCATGTTCAATTTAACATTGTGTGTCTTCTTAAGAAGACATATGTCTTCTTAATTATTATGACAGAAATAAAATTCTACCACAGGCCTACTTGAAAAGTTCTCCTCTCTCATAAGAAAGTGTAAATTCACTGACATCACAGAGGCGAATTTGGCTCCTCAGGAGAGGGAGGGCCAATAAATTATACAAACTTACTGAAGTCTAAACCATAAACTTTAATACATTAGACTTCAGAAATTACTTTTGAAATTATAGTACATTGTTCACTATATGGTACACTATAATGACAAGGAAAAATTGCCAGCACTGTTTTACCTAATAGATTTACTTTTATAGATGTGGCTGATGTTGGAGGTTCAAAAGTTCTGCACACTAATTCCTTGAAGGTTTTTACTAAGTTTTTACCGCTACAGTCCATGTTTTAATTTGCAGACTCTTTGGTGGCATCTGAGTACACTTCTCTCATTTTGCATAAACTAAAGCTGACAAATGGTTAACCACAACCACGTTAAAATGAAGAGCTTATTCACATGAAAAGTTGGACTCAATACCTTCACCATCCAAACTACTTGAAGAGATTAAAAGTTAAAAGTAGACTGGAAGAAAAATAACATTACAAAGCATGATTATAAAAGTGAGGATTATAATCCCATAATTGAAAGCAATCTGATAGAGGTGGTGAAGATTAAAAATGTGTATTTTTTAAACACAATTTTTCATTTCTCTGTGCTATGAAAATATTTTTCTCTATTCCCTCATATGCGTACACATACATGACATATTCACCCTGCTACCATGTACATATTTTCAGCTGAGAAGCCATACGCTGAAAGTATTTGTATAGTTTTTTTTAGTACATCTCTTTCCTTAAAGCAATTCAGTGAATGGGTATTCTATTGAATGCAAGAATAATGTACCATTTAGGCTACAGATTTTCAAATTAGTAATAAACCTTATACTCCTACTCCTTCTTGCATCCTTGCCAGAAGTTAATAATAAAAAAAAATAACAATCTGATTTAAGAAAACTGTGCAGCAGAATAGGAACCAAAATGTTCTCCCAACTGTGTGAACTGCTTTGTCATGAGAAAATATTTTTTCCTTCCCTGTAATAGAAAATCTCTCCCCCTCATCCCATGGGAAACTATGAAAGATCATGGTCTTAATTACCTCTTGAAAAAAGGAACGAGGAAGCTGAGTTATAAGCAGAGAGTAAGACATGGAAAGTTTCGTCTTCATACCATATCCAACAATGATAAAATTAATGAAAGACAGGAAGTTGGCTGAAAAATATAGTTAAGAAGAAAATGCTTTTTCAGCCACACGTCATAAAATCAGTGCCTTTTTTTACCATATATATATTGTTATATAAAGTCCAGGCTTCTTTTCAGTGATCAAGGGTTACTGTAAGTTCCTTCTGAGAGTATTCATGTTCCCTTACAGTTTTCTGTAGTTAAGTTTTTTAGCTGTTCTCAAAACGTGAGAAAGATGGGATGGGATAAAAGGGGTTTGTATGGAGCATACCGCAATACTGTTACAACAATTCAGTGTAGGATGTAATTCCTCAGTACCACTTGTGTGTAGACACAGTACACGGGGGAAGTATCACCTCATACAAGATCAGAAGTTATCTCATTTGTATCCCTACTAGTTCAATATATGATGGTGGCCAAAGAAAGAAAGCAATTACTCAGATAAGAAGCAAGGCTGCATTCTTGGGGGTTTGGAGGGGTTTGTTTGTTTGTCTGTTTTGGGATTATTTTTTTGGTTTGTTATTGTTTGGAGTTTTTTTAACACAAAGTTGTCCTGACCTTATCCAAAGGAGCATGTTCCAAAGGAAGAGGGTAGAGCAACACTACCTTAAGTCCTTGTTATTCTTGGCTAATGGAGACAGTTTTTAGTTTATTCAAATCAGCTCTGTGACTCATCTGGTTCTACTCCTTGCTGGCATGGAGATAAAATACTGCAGAGAAACAGTGGAAAGACTTTTGGTCCAACAGGCTTTGATTTTAGCAAATCTCTGTTACGTCCTGATTGTAAAGAGCAGTGGAAGAGGAGTGTACATAATAAAAGCATTCAACATTATATAGATCATATATACAAATCACGGAGGACTTGTTAACAGGGAGATATTAACCTGGGAAGATATGTTGTCCTTTGGATTAACATTCTTATTACACTAACCTTTTCAGTCACGTCTGTGTTTCTGTTTTTAGTATGCAGAGTATAAAACTCTCATTAACAGCTAAGACTGTTATAACAGATGCTCTATTACAGCCACAAACCCCCCTCAAACAGCTCTCAGGAGTTCTGTGACTTAACTTACTCTCACACACATTCTTTTCCTCCTTTGTCCTTGCTCTGTGAGTGCTTGTACAATGGTAAAAGAAGATAGGATTGTAAAAAAATCTTATTCAAATGGTAGGAGTGTTAAAATAGGATGGAGAAGGTAGGTGATAGTTTTGTGTAGACTTTCACGACCAAATCCACCGAGCCCCACTGCTCAATGTCTTCCTCTGGTTGGTTGTACCAGACTTTTTTCTTAGGTCCTTGCACAGGCACTTCAAAGTGTTTTACAGATTACACTCTTCTAAATTCTAGTCAGAATTCTAGTTAGAATAAAGTCTTCACCTGACTTCAGTTCAATGAATCTCAACTGCTTATTGTTTCAAACTATTTTTCCTAACACATGAAGGCATCTATCACTGCTTAACACATTTTGCTTCTGGAGCTCATCAAAGTAATGAACTCCCTGTCAGATTTATTCTGAGTTCAGACTTTTCTCTCATGGGAAGACATGGCATCTATCTAGGAATAAAACCACAGGAGTAGGTTTTTTTCCAAAACTGCCTTTGAGAACATCCAAGTTTCAGTCTGAGCCACTTTGAGGAAACACCCTTCTTCCCAACGTGTCTGCGGTAGAATAAAATTTAGTGCTAGTCAGTGGTATGGCAGATTTTACTGAAAAGTTGAAGTACTTTTGATGCCCTGAAGCATGTCCAGTGAAGGAAAAGGGAAGTCAGCATTTCAATGCCACCTGGAGGAGAACTAAAAATTCTGATATAAATTACAAACAGTTAGTTTGCCTGTGAGAAAAGGAGTTTTCTAATTGTGTATTGTATTATCTCAATAAATAGGGAACAGTTGGAAGCAGAGCATACTTACGCTTTCTTTCCACAGATGGCTTGCTGGTACCAGTTTCTGCAAGTGCTGAAGTATTTCTTTTTTGTTCCCATAACTTGCTGAAGAGCACAAACATTTGGGCTATGGGTGGAGTGAGAAACATTTTAAAAAGAAGTTTCTGCGCATTTCTGAAAAAGTTTTATATGAAATAGTGGCAAATACTGTTTCTGTTGAACAAGAAATTAACATCTGGCTTCAGTTCCCAGGGCAGGTGTGTTTTCAAGCAACCACAGTGCAAGCTGCGGGGACTCCCCAGCTGGGTTCCTTGGCAAGCCCACCCTCCCTGCAGTGACAGAAGCTTCCCCTTCGTTCTGGTTTGACCCTATGTCTCTGGTGGGCAGTGATCACCTGCTGTGCCTAGTCAAGTCTCAGTATGCCTTCCATTTCTCCCTGCAAAGTGAATTACCAGCCACCAGGGACTGCGTGGTGAATGCCATCAGGCTCTTTTCATTAAGGTTTTTGTCTTGTACACATCTGTGCAACGGAAGGTTGTGGGGAGATGGGGAAGAAAAGTGCCTTGTTCTTTATGCAGAAGGAAGTCCTGTCTTCTGTAAATCAATCAGCTATTTTGATTACCAACCCCTTGGACTACTGCAGGCACCTAAATAAACATTCTGGGAATTACTGGGGACCAAAGGGTAAGTTGGCATGTAAATAAAAGAAGTCACAGACTTCAGATGAGGAATATATGTTCCTTAGCATGGTAGTGTACAGAAGAGGAATTTCTTATGGTCAAATTCCACGGTGCAATTAGACATTTTGTCCCTAACTTTTATACTTCTGCAATTGAAAAATTCCTCAGTTCAAAAGTTAGAACATATATTTTGCATCACTGGGAAGCCAGTGAACATTTTTATTTGAAAAGCTCATTGTGCGTGTATGTAGCAGGCAGTGGGAATTCAGCAAAAGAAGATAGGATCGTAAAAAGTTCTTATTCAAAAGATGTTTTTTACTTAAGAACGACTACAGGAAAGCATCTTTAGACACATGTGTCTCCCTGACACCAGCTGTTCAAATTATTTCTGTGTCTCCAAACAGCCTGGCTTGTAAGCATTGTCTTTTGGAAACCCTGCTGAGCAGCTTACCGCACTGGTCTAGTGGGAACAGAAGTTTTACAAAGGGTTCCCAGTATATGTTCCCATGTTAGAAAGCATTTGAATAGAGCTCTTGATTTCCATTAGGATGGAATAAAAAGAGAAAATACTGTGGGATAGGTGTCAACTCCATTCAAAAGTTTTCAAACATATATTAAACATATCTGCCATCTCATCACATTAATTATGAACCATAATTAATTTCAGTGATCCTGAGTCTCATGTATTTGATCCATTGAGAAATGCTGATTTGAGATTTGTCTCCTTTTTGTGAAGTTTAACAGAATTCTGTCTCCTTTTGAAACTCCCTGGAAAACTTTTTATTTAAGAACAATTCATGTAACATTACCATTAAAAAATTCTACTTGAATGACAGTAAGAAGTCACAGTGAAAAATCACATTTAATATAATACGAGAAGAAAGGGGAGAATAAAGATTAGCAAGCTTCCTTTACATTAGAAACAAAAGCCAGCTACTTACCCCTGGTCGCGTGCTCTTATTCGACTATGAGTTAAAATCTTGTCATAGTGAGCAAAAGCAGCTGCTTGTTCAAAAGCAGACAACAAAAAAGTGGAAAAGGTGAATAAGAAAAAGATCTTCATCTTTAGTCCTCTGTTGCCTCTGGCAAGTCTAGAAGAGAGAAGTGGCAAAGGGATTGGAGAGCTGACAATTTATATGCATGTTAGAAGGTGGTGGGAGGGAACCACAGGATCAGTTTGAAACTTTGTACCACCCTCCTGAGAACTGCAGCTTTTACTGCCAGCTTCAGTAACTTAAATTAGTACTATACATTAACCATATAAGCCCCTTCTTTTATTCCCCGATTGGCTAATTTCTTCATTGTTACAGAGAGCTTATAATTTTTTTTCTACTGACACAACAATAGAGAAATTTTGAGAAATTTATACTTTGGCTTATGGTTTAGTATTTATAGCACTGAGGTATCCCGAGGTCATGGTCACTGTGAGTGGTTTTATTCAAACCCAGAGGAAGATGTTGTCTGTTCCCACAAGAACAGCATTTCTTTCCTTTGTTTTCCATGTCCTCACTGTTATCAGCTGTGAGCTGCTTAGCTACAGAAGTTGATGAAAGTTCCAAATACTGTTGACAATAATCTGAAATAGTGTTTTTGTCTTGAGAAAAAAACACATTCTGTGTAAGAAGTAGTTGCTCAGTTAAAAGCAGAATGTTTGAATATTCATTTTAATTCTAATTATAACAATGGCTATTACATAATGCTTTTGTTCAGAACTTTATGCAAGATATGATTACATATCATATAAAAATCACTATCTGAAAATTTGAACATATACCTTTTTATATGTTTGTCTGTCCTTCAAAGACTCTTGTGAAGTAAATGGAAGATGTAACTCTGAGCTGCAACTGAGGAAACTGAGACAGAAGTGGCGGGCTCAAGCCTCCTGTGAAGTGACAGTCTCAAGACTCCAGGGGCAGTTAGTGTTTGGACTGCAATCCAGGAGTTTGCAATTTTCATGTCAAGGAAAAAATTCTGCAATTTACATGGAAGTGTTTGCATATGAATACAATTACAAGGGAAAAATCTATAGATCATTTCAGATTTTTATGATAATAAGGTGAGTTCTCATGGCAGTACTTCACTTTAGTTTCTTCCTCCAACCAGAGAGAGCAGTGAGGTGAATAACTAGAAATGGATGCAGCATTGGACTGACACACCTGGGACCCGCCTATCACTATAGAACAGACACAAATGAGGCAAAGAGCAGCAGATGGAGCCAGGGACTATTTCCTATACATAATCATAGGTAAGGGTTATAACTATGCAACAGTATCTAGATAGTTTTTAATTAAGGTCTTGTCTTAGGTAACCATAGGACTTCATGGTTTCTAAGATTAAGAGCAGAGATATTTGGTAATGGTAGGTGGGCTTCTATTCTAACGTGACCTCTACACATCCTACCTGCAAAAAACTCAAGATAGCTCATGTCACCTCTGCTGGAAGCACCAGCATCTCTAGACTCTCACTGTGTGAACTCCACACCCGTAACCTCACTGTTGGATCAGCTGATGGAGGTGTCAGGTCAATTCTGTGATATAATATTAACAGTATTAGGAGAATGTCAGTGCTGTGTTCCTGTTCCTCTCAGAGCTTTTTGTCTATTTCTGGTCTTTGCCACAAGAAATACAATGAGAAATATCACCACGTAAGTGTCTAGATATGACATTTTCAGCTGCTAATTGGCCTCAGTTGATTGCTCTTTGCAGTTCTCAATCTAGAGATGAAAAAAATTAGAGGATACTCTGCTAAATTAACTTGAAAAACTTCGGAAAGCCCCAGAACTTTACCAGTAACCTGTTTTCTTGGGAGCACCTCCCTCCCTCATCTATCTGTTCGTGGTATGGCTCAGGTTCTTCTCTTCCACACTTAGCAAGTAGCATCAAAAATTAGGAGACATTAATGCTGCTGCATTCACTGACCTCCTGTTGTTTACAGAGCTATCTACCACAGTTAAAGATGGAGCAGTCTGAGCAGGACTAGTATTTTTCTTTCCAGATTTTTCCAGCTTTCTGATTAGTGACCCAATGTCAAATCACAGAGAATCCCATTTTTATTCTACATAGACTACAGTAGGCTATAATTTGACACAACCATATAGCAAGCCTGGCAATGTAATTATATTTAATGAGGCAAATGTTAGTAAAAAATAGTCAATGAAGACGTATTGTTCACTGAAATAAAACAATATGTGCAAAAAATTAAAATAAACTTGTTTTCTGAAAAAAAATCTAAATTGCTGAATGAGTTGTTCTGGTGAGCTGTGTAAAAATACATAGATCTTAAAAATGGATAAAGCTCATCTTTACTGGAAATTACTTTTTAAAAAATAACTGGACGGAAATTGCTTATAATTTAAAAACTTCAAGTGAAAACAAAGTAGAACAAAAAGTCTAAAGAAAAAAGAACAACCCAACTACATGAATCCTGTTCCTTATTCATGTTCATATTAGTCTAGATATAAAAGACAATAATGGATCCAGGCTTTGGTTTGCCTGTAATATAACGGTGTGCTGCACAGCACACCCGAGTAACCATTTTAATTTGCCAACTACAATTACTATTGTAATTCAGCAACATTTTATTCGCTTATGCTCATTGCTACTTTATTTAATTTGTTGTTTAATTATCAAGGTGGCTACGACACCAACAGCAACCTTAGGTTTTTTCTTCCTTTGGCTAAATACTTTGTGCTAGTATACTTCCTAAGTGATGTGATGTTGAAGTCCTAATTATGTATGTTAAAAATTTTAATTATAAAATACATTAAAACACATAATTGATTTGAAATATTGTTGTAGTAATAGGATTATTTGTTATCCACAGCAGAAGGAACACATCCAAATGAATACCTGGAATAAGAATAGAACAAATGTTGATTTTCATCTTCCATGAAATGTAAATAGTGTCAAGAAGTCTATTCTGAACAGTTTATTGTATTTCTCTAGAGACCTCTAGTGGAGAGAACTCTGTAATGTAGTTTTCGGAAAGCTGTGTTAAGTGTTTACACTAAGAATTTATTGTATAATAAAGCAATTTCTTTTATTATTCCTAAAGAGTATTAGATTATTTATATGATGCAAAAATACTTGCAGTCAAATATTTAGAGGTTTGATTAACTGTTTTTACATCAAACTGAAGCATCTACTAGTCACTTATGGCCAATCCTACTGCTGATGTGCAGAAATTTAGAAAATAAGAATGGAAGTAAATTGAGGGTTTTTCAAATACACTCTTCTCAGTTAAAATCTGCAGGTGTTTCAGGTCATTTACAAAGGATGACATATGTTATACATATTCTATTGCTTTATTTTGAAACTTTGTTTTATAACTTATGTGTTTACTTTTTGGTGTGTGTGTGCTCAGTGGAAAGAGAAAATGGGCACAAAGTATTTGTACAAAAAGAGAGGCTATCTCTGTATTGCAGTTGTTTCTTGACTCCTTAGGTTTCCTTTGAAACCTTGATTAGGAAATTTGGGATTTTTTTGTCATTAATTTCACTTAGATCAACAATTTGCTTCTGGAGTAACCTTCAGCGTGTCTTCTTATCAACTACTTTGTTTTTAGGAATACCATAGATATGTACCAGAAGAAGCCAAACAACTCATTGCCCTTTTGGACAAACTAAGAGGTTGATGTGTATAGGAGATTTAGTGTCTGTAAGTGCAAGGTGATACACTTTAGAAGTAAAGTCTTCAGTTGTAATGTAAATGAAAATTAATGCAAACAAAACTATCACAAATGAGAAATGGAAATAAACCTCAAGGAAGTATCTAGGAAAGATATGCTGGTGGTCCTGTGAAGAGGATGATCATGGAGGCATGGCTTGATAACCACAGTCAGTCAGCTGAGAAATTAAAACAAATTAGCCTAAAAGGGTACCTTATTTTTTCCTCCACTATCACCAGCATTTAGATGCTAATAAACCTGCTTAAGTTACCAGTTTATTGTCTATCACATCAGGGTTTTACTTTCAGGTATCATAGCTCACTTCTGAAACATCACAACCCTGCTTAACTGCTGATTTTTTATGTGATAGCTTTACAAGCTAAGCTTCACATGCTAAGCTTCACATCACCTAAATTTAGCCATCTCACAGTCAAGGCTACTCTCCTTTTGTCCCAGGTGGAGAGAGGGCAATTCAGATTTTATGTTGAAAGATTTGTGTTCTCTCCTCTAACAGCAAAGCAGATCTGGCACCTAGTTTGAACTAGACTCCTAACCTTTTGAAAGCCCAGTGCCATAATAGGAGAATCCCAACGTTCACATCTTTTCTTTGGTGGTTTGTTTTTCAGGAATAGACACTTTAAAAATATACTATGTTAAATAAGATTACTTAGAGTACGATATGTTTTCTGGTGATCAGCTTGTGAGCTCGTGATCAGCTGCTATTTCCCATCTTAATGACTAGTCCCACAGGATCTCTTGCTGATACTCTGCATAAATTTTCACTTTTTTAAGCACAGCTACTCCACACCTACAGGAGCTAATTAATTTTCCTTATAATTTCAGTTTGTTTATTGAAATATTTTAGACTCTTTTCATAAATCTGATTAGGCTTCTCATTGCCAAACTACACAATTTAAAACTTTAATATTTCCCCATTACCCAGTTCTTGATCTCCAGCCCCAGGGAATGATTGCTTCTTAATAAATCTCTCAAAAGTTTTTCATAGTATGGACTGATCCTTCTTATGGATTTTGGGAAAAATCTACAGCCCTAAACATCAAAATATTCTGCTTTCTCTGTATCAAAATGACACTAAAAGTCCCAATATATGAATTGCTATTTACAGTCAGTTATGGGCATATGGCAAGATTTTGTAAAATATTACAGTTCAGCATAACTTATGTGGTCTTACTCCTCAGTCCAGGTCTGCATATTCAGCTCAGTTACCATGAAAAATAAAATAAGGATTAGGCAAACTCCTTGGGAAATGGGACTGTTGATTCTTCATTCAACAGCAGGTGATGCTGTTGCCATAGACAAACATTTCTCTCTAAGTGAGCACATCTGATAATGCAGCCTGAAATAAATTCCACTGTATTCTCAAATTCTTGTGCTTTTACAGTACATAGTAAGTGTCAGTGCAACACAGAGATAA